AGCATGTTTGGTGGGATGCGGATTCGAACCCGCGAATTTAATAGTAAAAAGTAGAATAAAACATTGCATAGTAAAGATTACAACAACGTACTGCAATAATAAAAAATAGTAAAAATCACAATAAATTATTGTAAAGTACAAAAACCTGCTGTGAACTCTTCTTCGAATTTCTTGATTTTCCTTATGCGACTAAGTCACACACTTTACTCAAAGTAACCTACCAGCCCGAAACTATGTCACCTGTTATCTTTATATACATACAAACCTAAAACGGTTCTGTGTTATATTAAAGTATCCTGCCAACCTGAAACTATATCACCTGTTATCCTGATATACATGCAAATCAGAAACAAAGTTGTGTGTTATATTAAAGTATCCTGCTAACCTGAAACTATGTTACCCTAAAATACATTCAAACCAGGAGCAAAGTTATGCGTTATATTAAAGTAACCTGCCAACCGGAAACTATATCACCTGTTATCTTGATATACATGCAAACCAGGAACAAAGTTGTGTGTTATATTAAAGTATCCTGCCAACCTGAAAGTATGCCACCTGTAACCCTAAAACACATTCAAACCAGGAGCAAAGTTATGTTTTATATTAATGTATCCTGCGAGCCTCAAGCCAAGGCATGTTATAGTGATTTATACATAAACCAAAAATGAGTCAGATGTTATATGAACATGAACCTCAAATGTTGAAACACATAGTACAAATATGTTTACGTGAACCAAAAATGAGTCAGATGTTATATGAACATGAACCTCAAATGTTGAAACACATAGTAAAAATATGTATACGTGAACCAAAAATGAGTCACATGCTATATTCATGTAACCTGGAGACCAGAAAGTAAGTCATGTGTTACAGCTAATGTAACCTGTAACCCAGAGGCTAAGACATGTGTTATATCAAAGTATCTTGTAAACCGCAAACTAAGTGTCGTATATTATATTACTTTATTGTAAAAATTGAATAAAAAACCTATAACCCTGGTGCTTTCAAAAGGTGAACCTTTCTTGTTCAGGGGCAAAGTGAAGAAGAAAGGGCCACCTTTCGAAAGCGCTCGGGTTATAGAGTTTTTCTTCATTTCTATCA